GCTGGGGCTGGAGCAGCCTGGGCTGGTGGGAGGTGTCCCTGCCCATGCAGGGGGTGGGATCTGGATGGTCTTCAAGGTCCCTCCAACCCATCCCATGGTTCTGTGAGTCTTTTGATGACCAGGAGTAGAAGGTGTCTGAATGTCCCTTCCTGGTGCTGGCAGTCAACCTAGAGGACCTTTTTAGGGCCATTGAAAACATCTTGGGCTCATCACCTCTATCTTCCTGAGCTCCCCTTTCCCTGCTTCCCAGTGAAGGGAATGGTTTGAGTTGTTTCTCTCCAGAAAGGAAAGGACTGGTGGTTCTTGGGGTGTCCTCTGGCCATGGTCTTGATGGAGTTTCTAAACTTCAAGGAAGCAGGAAAGAAAAAAGGCCCCAAACTTTTCAGTACTTCCAGTGGCATAGAGGTCAGACTGGTGGGGAGGAGATGGGGCCCAGTTCCCCATGAGCTTTCTGAGTGCCCCACTGCTGGGAACTGGAATGTGACTGTCCCTGTGGATCTTCTCCCTCTGCTTGAAGGCCTGAGGAAGGTGTTTGATGTCTCACCCACCTCATGGGTGGCTCCTTCTGCTCCTCACTGGCTTCAATCCCTGAAAACCACCTCGGAGAGGACTTTGGGTGGCTTTTCCCAGGGATATCCCCCCTCCCTCCCAAAACCTTGGACCTCATTTAAGAAAATCAGGATCTCTCCTGGGAAGCTCTTGTCATCTGCTGTGGTCAGAAGAAAAGAAATTGCAAAGAGAAGGGAAACCTGGGAGAAGAGCTCCAGGAGAACATCAACCAGCAGGCTTAGCCCACCACCAGTCTGGAATGCTGGTATTTTGGACTCCATGCAGGGTGATGGTTCCAGGGAGGCTTTGAAGGTTGTGACAGGTCTGCTCTTGTGCTAATTAAGATCCTGAGATGACCAGGACACCAGGGATGGAGCTCAGCTCTGCTTGGAGCAGCCCCGTGGCTGTTGAGCTTCTCTCTCTGCCACGACTCAGACTGATGAATGAGATGTTTTCTCCCTGGTTTCTCTGTGGGTTTGACTTGGCAGCTCCTTTTTTTTGGATGAGTTTGGAAGTTCTCCATGGTCCTTCTTCCTCCAAGCCCAGCTCTGTAGGGCCCTGTTTCAACTGCCCAGCCCTGAGACAAAAAACAACATTGGACTTCCATTTGGCATTAATTCTGTAAACAGGGCAGAGGACATCTTGGGTCAACTGCCCCAGGGTCCTGGCTGGTTTCCCTCATCCTTCTGAGGAAGGTTTTGGTCTCTTGTTCCTCCAGGCAATACTTAAAACAGGAGAGTTTGGACAAGAAGAGGAAGGAGTTTGACACCAACGGCTGGTCCTTGCTCAGCAAGAAGAGCCAGGTGGGTTTGCAAGGTCTCTTGTGGTCCTTGGTTTGGTTCCTGGCCCTGATGCACCTTTTCTGGTGGGAATTCCCAGCCTGGTGGTGACTCCAGAGGCTGCTGGGCCGTGGGGTGACATCAGGCAGGAAGGCTCTGCTGAGCCCTGCTCCCCCCTCTTCCTGCTGCCACCCCTGTTGTCTTCATCTCCCCTTCCTCCCCCTGGCCTTGCAGACCTGGAGTCATAGAATTATGGGATGGGTTGGAGGGATGTTAAAGATCTCACAGTTCCACCCCCTGCATGGGCAGGGACACCTCCCACCAGCCCAGGTCACTACAAACCCCATTCAACCTGCCCTTCAACACCCCCAGGGATGGGGCAGCACCTTGAAGATCATCTGGTGGGATCATCTGGGTGGGCTTGAAGGTCCTTCCAACCCAAACCATCCCAGGAGCTAAATTCTATGATGGTGGGTCTTGCATGATCACAATGGTGTGACAATAGAATCATGGAATGGGTTGGGTTGGAGGGACC